AACTTTTTATTTAGCTAATGTTTCCTAAGCAACAAAAGTCCTTGACTGACTGATTATAGAAGAGACAGAACTAAATAGAGGACCCCTCTGTGCTTAGAAATAGATGAGAAAATATTATAGATTGAGTCAAAGCTAGCCAGCTCAGCTGTAACTTACTTAGTGGGACGATAATCTGGAATAGATCGATCCAAGGAGATCTTTTCGCTGAGGTAGGAATTGTAGCCATACTTCTCATGAGGTCCTTTGGCTTTTTCTTCTTCAGAGGGGGAAAGGGTGGCAGGAAGGCCTCCTTTGCCTCGCCCACCATACCCTTCGATGAGCCCGAGTGATTTGGATAACCCTAAAAAGGAGGAGGAGGAGAAAGTTATTCTAAAACACCTTTCCTACATATATCATGCAACCCCAAAGGAACTTCAATTAAGATTTTTTTAACACATCTTAACACAGAAAATTATGACCTCAGTTTACATATCCTGTTATATGCTTGGAGAATATCTGACCTCCGTTTACATATCCTGTATATATGTTTGGAGAATATGCATCCAGAGGCAGGGTCTGATGTAGCAGGCTGGCTTTGAACTCACTGTGTAGCTGAGGATGACTTTGAACTCCTTATCTTCCTGCATGCTGGCATTTCAGGGATGTACCTCAAGTATCCAGTTCATGTGATACTGAAGATATTTCTATGAGAGAAAGGTTTATGCTATGCTGAGCTCTGGGGTTCACATATGAATAGCTACTGGAAACACATGGAATCAGAGACCACCAAGACTTGGAGAAACGAAAACCACAAAGAACTCAAAAACTGGGATGAATGCAGGGCATTATCTGTGCCCATCTCCCTTTTCTCTTTGGGACAATCACAGCCAGATTAGGTCTGCAGAAGGGGAAGGTTCCAGGGATCTCACACACTTAATAAACATCAGGGAGCTACTAGGCTGCAGGTGTGTGAGTGGGGAGTATTGCTGCAGCTGAACTAGGAAAGAACAGATTAATTTCCCCATGAGCTAAAAGCACAAGCCAGGAGTTGATGTGACTCTTCGCCTAATGGTTTTATTTAAATTCCATCTCAGTGGCAAAGAGAAACACCAAGTATTTGAGGATAAATCAGAGAAGAGAAAAAAAAGCCCATAATATGATAACTACAATACACAAAGAAGGAGCCCTCCATGGCAACCCTCTATGAGCA